CTGTAAAATGATAAGAAGAGAGAAGAAGACACAACATTAGTGTGGGAACCCTTGTGACAGCTGCTACTGCACACTACCTACTCCACACACGTGTCACTCCCTGCCCATCCACCCATACAAATTGGGAGATGCTCGAGTCGCATCCATCTAGCGCCCCTACCGTGTACACTGATCCATATATGCTGCGTCTACACCCCATCACCCTTCCATTGTCTACTTGCTCTTACACCAGTGATCAAAATACTAGGAGAATGAAATACACTTTTCACAGATCTCTGCACTAACATACCCAAAGAACAGATATGAACGGAAATGCGTGTCCCTATAATTATGATTCCCGAGTGTGGGTGCGCACACACGTTATAATGAACCAACCAATACTTTCCTTCAACAGGGAGCAAAAAGAAAACTTCCATTACCTTCCAGATAGAAGATATCTTCAAAGCCAGTAGCTACTGTATCACACAATGAAAGTGCACATGCATTCTAGCAATGCTTCACTCTTTACAACTTACTGTATATATATATATATATATATAGCCTGGGTAATGATATAATTTCTGAGCACTAATTTCTAAATAGTAAACTCAACAAACAATTCTTGTACTGTAAATATGTGAGTAAAGTATTAAAGGTACTGTCTCTTATAAACTATGGAAATAAAAAATAAGAAATACGAAACAGTAAAAAAAAAAATTAAACATAGCCAATATTGAAAACACTGTACAGTACACAAATTAGCAAGTGCCAGGTACGAACACTTTTAAGATGCATTAAACTGCCCAAGTGAACCGCATTAAAATTATTTTCTGATACTAGTACATTCTAAATACTTCTCTAAATTTCAAAAGAAAATCCAATAAGCTGAAATACACAGGAATTCAAAATATCACTTTATAGATAGGAGAGAAATGGCCATTTATGTAATTTCCTTTTTATAAATTATCATTGACATAATAATTACCCCAAAACTTCAGATCATTTCTGCAGTACTCAAGTCAGTGTTGACGAATGACCTAAAATCATAAGAGTACAAAACAACGCTGGGCCAGGAATTTGTTTGTGCTAGTGACTTCCGTGTGGCGGTTTTTAACAAAATGTTCTTCAGAAACTTGTCAGATATATAATTGAATAGCCTTTTACAAGTACAGTGGTCCCTCGCTTAACGAAATTTCAGTTAACGAATTACCTTCCATAAGAATCTTCAATTCAGTTAACGAACAAAAATTTGATTAACGAAATCCTTACGAAAATCACGTTTTGTTGTGAGCATCAGTTGGTCAGCTGATGGCCCAGTCTGACAATTCAGTAATCTGTTTATGTTTACATTCGTTTCCAATGGAGTAAATATCAATAAAGTTGAGATTTTTAATATTTTTGCATTTTTTATATTAAAATTATTAGTCATTTTAACATATATTTAACATATTGATAATATCTGCAGTACTGTACAGGGAACTAGTCAGTTGTGCACCCATCAGATGCGTGATTCGCTCACAAGGCGTCAGTTGAGACTTTGAAACGGTGGAGAGCATCTATATTGTTGGCGTCTTGAATATTTTTGCATTTTTCATTGAAATTATTGGTCATTCTGAACTTTTATTTAACATATTAATAATATTTAGTGCAGTGTTGATTTCAAGAAAATAATTTTGAATTAGACCTAGTGAACTTAAATTTTATTTGAAATCAGGCGTCAAGCATGGGTCCCCTGAAAGGTGATTTCTCCTCCATCCCCACTTCCTTCTCTTCTCCCTTCTCCTCCACCCCCACTTCTAATTCCCATCAATATCATGAACCAGGAGCCTTCTATATACACACTCAAAGTATGTACTTTACTGCATTTTTTTTTACTTTATGTACTTTTGGTGAGCTGGAACCAATTACCCAATATCCCATTGAAACAATGGTTTGAGTTAACGAAATTTTTTGGTTAACGAGCGATCTTCTGGAGCAATTGTGTTAGTTAACAGGACCACTGTACAGTACTGAATGTATTATTCAACAAGGCCACTCTGTGTTAGCGATACTTTTATTAGAAACAACAAAATTTCTACTGTACAGTGGTAGTTTTAACTCTATCATAGTTAACATAATCTAGCCTAGTGTAACGTTATTGATGGATATATGAGCTACCAATCACTGAACACAATACAGCAAGCCCTTACAATTCGCGGGTTTTTAATTTGATGCCTTTGATTATTCACGGATGACACCCTGGATGTACCAAGAATGTTTGTGGGTGCCTTTTAGAGATGGCAACATGTTCGCGGCTGGGACTTGGAGCACACAAGTTGTGTGACTTCCATAAAATGTTTCTGTTGTCCCAGGCGGCTGGGCCACGCTCACACTCCGCCTCAGTCTGGGATAAACACTAATTGTCTGTCTCATGCGTGTACTACTTTGCTCTCTTCTCTATTGCTCCTCGTGCTTGTGAAGGTTACACATGTCGTCAACCATCTTCATCAAGCCATGGGAAGGTGCCCAAACAAGCAAAGAGAGAAAAGAAGGTCATGACCCTCGTGGAAAAGATACAACTGCTGGACAAACTTAGGAGTGGCCAGAGTGTTGCTGCGTGTGGCCATGAGTATGGCATCAATGAGTCAACTGTCCGCTACATCCCTTAGCGAGGGAAATTCATAATGCCATTGCCCTATGTACCCCCTCTCCTGCCAAAGTAGCTGCTAATGTGAGGGATACAGCTATGGTGACAACTTTAACTGCCACCACATCCCTCTCAGCCAGAAGTTATCCATGAAAAAGCCAAGGCCCTGTATTATAGATTTCATGCTGAGAAAGGTGGCGAAGGTGAAGTGAGTGAATGTTAACCGAGTGGTGAAGGTAGTGCTAATGCTGGGGATTCTGATGATACCACAAAGAAAGGTTTTAATGGCAGGAAGGGGTGGTTTGAGAACTTCAAGGCTACAACTTGAAGACCCCTGGAAGTCAGCCTCGGCAGACGATATAGCAGCAAAAGAGTATCCAGTAGAAGAGTTAAATGTTGGAGCCGGTTTTCAATGCTGAAGAGATTGGTTTGTGGTGGAAGAAGATGCCAACCAAGACATTCGTTTCCAGGGAAGAAAGGAGTACACTGGGCTTCAAGGTGACCAAAGATCATGTGTCTTTCCTGCTGTGTGACAACGCTGCAGGTCACTTGATCAAGCCCATGCTGCTGTACCATGCCAAGAGTCCGCATGCACTCAAGAACAAAGACATGTGCCTCCTCCCAGTCTTCTACCACCACAACCTGGTTTCACAATTGTTTTGCAGGAGAAAGGCCTGTAGTTTAAGGTTCCTTATCATGATCGACAACTGCCCTGGCTACCCTGAGGCCCTCAAGGATGCCAACAAAAATGCCAAGGTGATCTTTCTGCCCAAGAACAAAACAGCATTGCTCTAACCACTCAACTATGGAGTCACTGTCTTCAAGGCCATGTACATGACCAGCACCTTCAGCGGGATACAGCAGGTCTTGGACAAGGACACACGGGATGGCTGCCGAGTCAGTCTCGGGGAAATGTGGAAGAAGTTCTCCATGTTATTCATCAGTGGCAGGGGATAGAGGAATGGGCTCTACACAAACAGCCAGCATGGAATGGTGGATGTTAATCTTTTTTTTGTACTTTGAAAAAAAAAAATTATATGTATATGTATATATAGTATATATGTATATATATATATATATATATATATATATATATATATATATATATATATATATATATATATATATATATATATATATATATATATATATATATATATATATATATATAGTGAACCCTCACTTTACGCGGTCAATTGAACCCACGGCGGCCTGCGTAAAGTGAGAAACGGGTAAAGTGAACAACATAACATATGGGATTAATTGAAATAAAGACCGGGCCGACCCCCAAACTCCACTTTTTCAGACACAATACAATTGTACCCCACTTAACGCGGTCAATAGAACCCAGAGGGTCCCGTGTTAAGTGAAATCCGCGTTAAGTGAACAACAGAACATATGGGATTAATTCCAATAGAAACCAGCCCGACCCCCAAACTCCACTTTTTGAAGACACATAACTATGTTGTAGTAAAAATAACATCTTAATTTTATGATGGTACATGCACACAATTAATACTTAAGAGAAATAGAGAAATACAGTCGCCAAGTTAATGTCCATTCAAATAATGGACTCAACTCCCTCCCCCTCTTCTCACACTACACTGCTGGCTCTTCCCTCTCTGAGAAATTTTTTGGGGAAAACCACTAAATTTTAATAAATAATACCTCAAACTAAAGTTAGGATAATACAATTGACATTGCTGGATTCCTTGTAAGACCAGGAATATTTTGAATATAAATGTCATATATTTTGCACAAAAGATAACATATTTACTAGAGAAAACATTTTATCTAAAATTTGTATGTCTAATGCAAAATATATGATGTTTATATTCAAAATGATCACCAAATTATAAGAATTCCAGCAATGTAAATTATATTCTGGCCGGGTAATTTGTATGAATTTTATTAGCTAAAACAAATATCTTCAGTTAATAAAAAAAAAAATATTCTTCAGGACACTATCTGTCAATCAAAGTACCCCACCTTGCCTCCCCCCTCTTCCAACCGCGCGGTCAGTCCCAACCCTCCCCCCCACCAATCGTCCCTTCAAGAGAAGAGTGGGTGAAAAAAATAAATTTTAAAATTTTGTATTAAATAATACCTCAGATTAAAGTTAGGATAATATAATTGACATTGCTGGATTCCTTGTAAGACCAGGAATATTTTGAATATAAATGTCATATATTTTGCACAAAAGATAACATATTTACTAGAGAAAACATTTTATCTAAAATTTGTGTCTAATGCAAAATATATGATGTTTATATTCAAAATGATCATCAAATTATAAGAATTCCAGCAATGTAAATTATATTCTGACCGGTAATTTGTATGAATTTTATGAGCTAAAACAAATATCTTCAGTTAATAAAAAAAAAAAAATATTCTT